CTTTCTTATCTCTCCTTGCTATTCTTTGGAACTGTGTATTCAAATGGGTATAGCTTTCCTTTTCTCCTTTGCCTTTAGCTTCTCTTCTTCTCTCAGCTATTTGTGAGGCCTTCTCAGACAACCATTTTGCCATTTTGCATTTCTTTTTCTTAGGGATGATCTTGATCACTGCCTCCTGTACAATGTCACGAACCTCCGTCCATAGTTCTTCAGGCACTTTCTCTTATCAGATCTAATCCCTTGAATCTGATTGTCACTTCCACTGTATAATCATAAGGGATTTGATTTAGGTCACACCTGAATGGTCTAATGGTTTTCCCTACTTTCTTCAATTTAAGTCTGAATTTGCCAATAAGGAGTTGCTGATCTGAGCCACAGTCAGCTCCCGGTCTTATTTTTGCTGCCTGTATAGAGCTTCTCCATCTTTGGCAGCAAAGAATATAATCAATCTGATTTCGGTGTTGGGCATGTGGTGATGTCCATGTGTAGAGTCTTCTCTTGTGTTGTTGGAAAAGGGTGTTTGCTATAACCAGTGCATTCTCTTGGCAAAACTCTGTTCGCCTTTGTCCTGCTTCATTCTGTACTCCAAGGCCAAATTTGCCTTTACTCCAGGTATCTCCTGACTTCCTGCTTTTGCATTCCAGTCCCCTATAATGAAAAGGACATCTTTTTTGGGTGTTACTTCTAGAAGGTCTTGTAGGTTTTTGTAGAACCGTTCAACTTCAGCTCCTTCAGCAATTTGGTTGGGACATAGACTTGGATTACTGTTATATTGAATAGTTTGTCTTAGAAACGAAAAGAGATCATTCTGTCATTTTTGAGATTGCATCCAAGTACCGCATTTTGGACTCTTTTGCTGACTGTGAGGGCTACTCCGTTTCTTGTAAGGGATTCTTTCCTATAAGAATCCATATTAGAAAGAGGCTTATCACACACAGAGGGCTCTGACAGGCTACAGTCCTTGGGGTCACACAGCATACATGCACACACGCTCATTTATCACCGGCTGTATGGGAACTGCTATGAACAAGGGACTAGACTCCCTCTCACCTTCCTGTCCTCTGGGCTACCCCCATTCTCCCCACTTTAGTGACAGGAACACGCAAAGAGCAGATACTGGGAGTGATGAGAAGAGCCCTGGTCAAATCCATAGAGACAGCAAGTAGAGCAGAATGGTGGCTGCCAGGGACAAGGTGAAGGGGCGATGTGGTGGTGTTGCTTCACAGGTTTCGATTTTGCATGATGGTAAAGCCCTGGAGATCTGCTGCACAAGGCTGTGAACATACTTCACTTAAAAATGGTTAAGATGGTCAATTCTATGTTAAGGCTTTTTTTTATAACCTCTGTTTTTAAAAGTGAAAAAGAACACAGGGAGTTAGGTGGGGCGGGGAAGTTGAGCTCACCTGTCCCACTTGCCAGCCTTTCCTCTGGCTTCCTTCTAGTCCGGACTGTCGCCAGCAGAGTGTGGTTGGTCCACACGCTCGCTGTGCACCCCTTCAGGGCTGAGCCACATGCTTCTCAGCAGAACCTCGTTCCCTGAGGTCATGAGTGCTTCTCTCCCACATACTTTGCCCTTGAAACCCCCTTCTGGTGTCCTGTCCCTCTCAAGTTTTTATCTGTTGGCCTGGAATAAAAAAGGGCAAATAACAATATCCTACACCTACTCCCACCCCACCCACTGGAATCATAGCTGTTTGGAGCACTATGAGAGTGTGGGCTTTGGGGCCAGAAGCTGGGAAGAAGTTCACCTTTTCTTCTCTTCAGTTCACTTAGCTCTAAGATGGAATAACATGGCTGTTCCACATAGCCAAACATGCATAGTTTAAGCAGAGAAATTCAGCCATCTGTAAACTGGTCTTTGCACTGGGAGATTCTGGACAGGAAAGCAGCCTCCATGGGAACCCAGCAGTGACTCACCGTCCCTTGGAAGCTCAGGTGGCCTTCTTTACTGTGGGTGTCAGTGTGGACCATTCTCAGCAGAGTCTGGCTCTGCTGCTGCCAGCCCACGTGGGCTGTCCCTCCTGCACTGCCTCCAGCCCCTCTGCCCACCTAGACAGTGGCCGGCTTCCCTGTTAGGCACAGTGGGGACAGCACCCAGAGCCAACAGCGCTTTTAAGGGACCCGTGAAAATGGTTTAATTTCTTTGAAAATCAAAAGAAAAAAAGTGAGTGTTTAGGCCCAGTAAATGTTATATAATCTTAATGTATTTGTTTTTATACCAGGATAGTTATACAATGGGCTCCCCTGATAGCTCAGTTGGTAAAGAATCCGCCTGCAATGTAAGAGACCCTGGTTTGATTCCTGGGTTGGGAAGATCCCCTAGAGAGGGAACGGGTGTACATTCCAGTATTCTGGCCTGGAGAATTCCATGGACTCTATAGTCCATGGGGAAGCAAAGAGTCAGACACAACTGAGCGACTTTCACTTTCATATTTACACAATACAATATTTAATTTTTTAAATAGAGGAAGGTACCCACAAAGGCGAAAGTACCGAGGGCCCATTTTGGCCCTTGAACCCACGGTGATGTGCCCACTCTCCTCTCTGCTTCTGTAACGGCTGCTGTCTGTCCTCCCCACCCCCACCACCCACTTAGGATCTGGAATATTCTCTCTGGCATTTTATTTATTTTTAGGGACCCATTTCACATGCCTGTCCCATCAGTTGGCAATAGCTAAGATAGCGAGTGGTTAGATGAGTTCAAAAGCCTGTCTGAGGCTCCTGGGAAGGAATGTTGTCATCACTGAGTGACGCCTCTCTGAGGCTCCTGGGAAGGAATGTTGTCATCACTGAGTGACGTCTCTCTGAGGCTCCTGGGAAGGAATGTTGTCATCACTGAGTGACGTCTCTCTGAGGCTCCTGGGAAGGAATGTTGTCATCACTGAGTGACGTCTCTCTGAGGCTCCTGGGAAGGAATGTTGTCATCACTGAGTGACGTCTCTCTGAGGCTCCTGGGAAGGAATGTTGTCATCACTGAGTGACGTCTCTCTGAGGCTCCTGGGAAGGAATGTTGTCATCACTGAGTGACGTCTCTCTGAGGCTCCTGGGAAGGAATGTTGTCATCACTGAGTGACGTCTCTCTGAGGCTCCTGGGAAGGAATGTTGTCATCACTGAGTGACGTCTCTCTGAGGCTCCTGGGAAGGAATGTTGTCATCACTGAGTGACGTCTCTCTGAGGCTCCTGGGAAGGAATGTTGTCATCACTGAGTGACGTCTCTCTGAGGCTCCTGGGAAGGAATGTTGTCATCACTGAGTGACGTCTCTCTGAGGCTCCTGGGAAGGAATGTTGTCATCACTGAGTGACGTCTCTCTGAGGCTCCTGGGAAGGAATGTTGTCATCACTGAGTGACGTCTCTCTGAGGCTCCTGGGAAGGAATGTTGTCATCACTGAGTGACGTCTCTCTGAGGCTCCTGGGAAGGAATGTTGTCATCACTGAGTGACGTCTCTCTGAGGCTCCTGGGAAGGAATGTTGTCATCACTGAGTGACGTCTCTCTGAGGCTCGTGACAGGAGAGAGACAGTAGGCATGTTGTTTTCCTGCTTTCCACCTCCCTTTGCCTTTTATCCCCCACTTGACTCCACATTTTACAAGATAGAATATGCCTTCCACGTGCTGAGCATCCCATGATGAAAGATCTAGAAGCCTTTAAGACCTGTTGATGGATTGATTGAGTGGGGTCTGTGAATACCCTTGATCCAGTTTCATGTCCTCTTGACATCTCTTCATTTTCTTTTTCTTTTCCCCTTTCAGGCGCCTTAACAAGAATAAGCTCCAGGTCCTCCCAGAACTGCTTTTCCAGAGCAACCTGAAGCTCACCAGACTGTGAGTAGAGTGAACTTGCTTTTTCTGCCTTGTGTCTTGCCTTCATTTGCTGATGCAGAGGATGTGGTTGCCTGAGCGCGGGGCGCCCTGACCACGTGGAGCTTGGCAGTGAGTCCACACGTGTGGGCATCTGGGGCCCGGCTTCAGCATGTGGGTCCCTGTGCTCCCCTCCAGCCCACCTTTTCTGCTCCCTTCCTTCAGAGAGCCACTGAAGTGGACTTACGCTAGTGTGTCTCTCTTTTACATGGAGGGAGGAAATCCATCCTTTTACCTGGGTCTGAATGTACCTCAGGGAAATGCCCCGAGGGGGGCTTGGAGGTGTGTCTCGGAGGGCAGTGGTTTGCGTTAAACCTTTCAGCTTCACCTCCTTGCTGGCTAGAAGGGCTCCTGCCCCGTGGCTGCCTCCTCCCTCTGCCAGTCGGGGAACTCTGGGTCTGGAGGTCTGTGATTTGTTTGGGAAAAGAAAGAAACACCTTGAACTTTGCTTTCTCTTTGGAATGGTCCAGGATATAATGAAGCGGGGAGACTTGGAGATGTCTTTGTGTATTTATTCAGCATGAGAGTTTGGATACTCAAGAGCTGGAGAAACACATCCGGATGGAGAGTGTGATTCATGGACTGGGGGTGTTAGGCAAGTGCTAATTGTCGACAGTGAACAGCTTCATGATTGTATCTGAAAGTCCAACTGGCGGTGACTAGTGAATGTTATGGGGTGAATTGCTTGCCCAAGGCTTAACTTTCTGGTTGGAGCAACAAGTGTCTTGGCTGCTTAGCAATCAGGCAGCAAGATTTACAGCGTGGCTGGGAGGACTGTGACGTTACTGGAGAGGTTTCTGCGTGGTGGTCACCATTCCCGTTCCAGTGGCCATGTTTGATACCTACGTATGCGGTCCACTGATGCATGTAGGCTCCAGGATAGATTGGGAAATATGAAACACATGTTTGCATGTGCACTTAAGAATGAGTTCTGAATCAGGAAATTGTATCTCTGTACACACAGTGAGAGACTATACACACACACATACTTTCTGGCGCTCTGGTGGAATGAGAACAGGCTGGGGTTGGCCGGTGTTTCAGTGCCGCGGTGGCCTTGCTTGCCTGCTCTTGGGTGCACCTGGACTTCGTCACAGTCCTCTCTGGCTGGCATTCCCTTTCACCTGACTGACTGCACTGAACGTGGGAAAGAGTACGCCTCCCTTTCCACTCTTCCACTCTTCATCCACCGTGATGGATGTGAGGGTGGATGAAGTGCAGTGTGTATCTGGCAGAGCTGAATAAGCAATACCAAATGGGCAGATGGGGAAACCACTCTGGTTTTTCCCTTCCTCTTCCCTGGAGAGTTCTTTCCTTAAACACTCACTTAATAGCCGTCTCTCCACCTAGCACTACCTTGTGCCTTTCAGCCTGCTTTAACTAAACCATACAGACTGTATGTCATTCACCTGGGCTCTCAGCATCACTTTCCAGCAAACAGAAGGTGCCTGTGGGGCTGGGCTGTGGGGCAGCTTTGAGCGGGCAGGGTCTGAGGGTCCCGCTGCTGCAGGGGGTTGGGGGAGGTGTCTGGTTCCTGCTCCCCGCAGACATCAGCAGATGCCCACTTTAGGTGGAGCTGATCTTGATCTGGGCAGAGGAGGCGCTTCAGGCTGTGATAACAGGTCTCTGAGATGCAGGGTGCCAGGCCCAGGCAGGCAGCACAAGGGTGTGGGGAGTCCAGTGTGGCGGCCTCATGGCCGCTTTCTGACTGAGAGAGGTCAGGAGAGCCACTCTGTCTTCTGTGCCTCAGTGTCCTCATCAGTAAATGAGAGAGGCCCCCTCTTCCGTTCATGCACCTCACCGGGGAGCTCTCTGAACCCAAAGATATTATGCTGAGCCTGCACTTTCTAGGGTTTAAAGTGCTCTGCACACATAATCAGCATAGACAACTGTTGTTACTCCTGCAATTCCCATCTTCACAGCCTGCTTCTAGTCTCCTTTCACGGGAGACTTGAAGAGACGAGGAGCTGCTCTTTTACATGGAGCTTTTGCTTCAGGCCAGAGAGCGTGGTCGGAACGGCCCACTCCTCTCCAGGCTCCTGGCTCGGCCCATGGGGCACGCACAGGCGCTCAGGAGTGGGTACGTAGACGGTGCAGGCCTCCGTATGAGCAGTGTGCTCAGGCAGCTCTGACCCTTTTATCCATCGTTCATGCAGGAAGCCTCTCCCAGGTGCCTGGCCTCTGTGCTGGGTGTTGAGCTGCAGACATGAAGGATGCCCTATACCCCGTTAGGACACACTCTGAATAGCTGCCAAATAGCTGAAAGCTAAATATATATATTTGTCATTGAAGCAGCTTTATTAACCTGGGTTTCAGCTATAATCAGCAATCCCTTTTTCTCTCTGGGCTTGGTCTTTGATTTTTCTTAATGACCCTCTTGTGTCTTTGTCTTATTTTGTCAGCCACTCCAGGGCCTTTTTGGAAGTAAGCAGGGGGCAAATTAGAAATCAATAAATGTGCAATCATGAGTGTGTATACACATGCCACCAGCTCTGTTTTAAAAGAGCACTGAATCTCAGTAGACGCAGCGAGCCATTTTCCAAGGAATGCTAAATGGGCTGCTGGGTGGCTGTCTCCTCCACAACCTGCCATGAGGTTTCAGCAGCAATTCTGACACACCTTCTCTTGCTAGATCTGTAGACAAAAACTGCTTCATATTCAATGATTATCTGAAAAATACCTTTTGGGGAATTGGCATTTCCAATACCTTTTGGGTCATATTTTAAGACATGTTGTGATGGGAAAGGGAAATGATATTTATTGGGAACTGATGTTATTATAATATTGCTACTAACTAGTGACAGAAATGTGGCTAAAATTGGTTTAACCCAAAGGGGAAATATGTTAATTCATATGCATGAGAAGGCCAGTGGTTGTTATGGTTGGCTTTATTTATTATTTTTATTTTCTTGAATAAGTCTATTTATTTTTGGTTGTGCTGGATCTTCACTGCTGAACAGGCTTCTCTTTGGTTGTGGCAAGTAGGGGCCACTCTCTTATTGCAGTGTGCAGGCCCCTCGTCGCAGTGGACTTTTTTGTTGTGGAGCACAGGCTCTCGGGTGTGTGGGTTTCGGTCATTTTGGCTTGCGGTCTCTAGAGTACAGGTTCAATAGTTGTGGCACACAGGCTGAGTTACTCTGAGTCGTGTGGGATCTTCCCAGCAAGGGTTCAAACCCGTGTCTCCTGCATTGGCAGGCAGACTGTTTATCACCAAGCTACCAGGGAAGCCCCTGTGATTGGGCTTAGAAACCACTGGATCCAGGGGCATGGTGGTGTTATTAGGACTTCATCTCACTCCCTCCAGCCCTTGGAAGTGTGCACGGGATGGCAGACAGCAGCAGAAGACTCAGAGGGAGATAACTTAGCGGCCAGGGTGGAGAGGGTGTCACTGGAGACAGTCATGCAAAAAAGAACTGAGAGTCAGCTGCTTACCTTGGTCACACCTCCGACTCTGAGCAGGTGACTGTGGCCGGTGAGACGATGTCCTCTGATTAACCAGTTGTTTGGCGCTGATGGTGTGTGGGTACTGGGAATGGATTTCCCAAAGAAAAGAATAATTCTGTTATCAGAAGACGGAGCAAGAGACCCCGAACTTAAACACATCTGACGTCTACATGTTTACTGAGCATCTAGTCTGTGCAGTCCCCTGTGCTTCCGTCGAATTGCTTGGGTCTTCACAATAACACTTCAAGGTAATGACAGTAGCAAACACAGTGCGTCCCAGATGCTCTTCTGAGTGCTTTACATGTAACTAGTTTGATGCACCTGATGACTGTGTGGGGGCAGGGACTATGAGTACCTTCCCACAGGTGTGAAACAGGGTCACAGAGGTCCAAGAACTTGCCCAGCATCATATAGTTACTCAGTGACTGAGCCAGGAAACAAATGTGGGTAATCTGACTCTGAAGACAGTGCGTTCATTCTGCCACAATTAGCTCTTTGCCTTAATATGCCCATTTTATAGATAAGGAGACTAAGTCTTGGATATTAAACTACTTGTCTGTATATCTCATATTTCCAAGCAGCAGCAGCTCTTTGGATTCTGCCTCAGTGCTCAGATTTCAGCCTTCACAACAATTCTGCAAAGAAAATCATTATTAGATCTACTGCTAAAGCTCAGAAGAATTATCTGACTTACCCAAGCATTCTCTGTTAAGTTGTACAACCAGGATACACTGGAATGGAGAAGAGGGCGCATGTATGTTGCTGCGGAGTATTTCTGTCATGCTACATCGCTGTGCTAACTATTGTGGGGACCTGAAGTCCCCCATATGCTAAAAGGAGAGTTTTTATCAGACCTTGGCTGGTTACCCACACCCCTCAGATGCAGCACCATCGGATTCCTTGGTGCATGTGTATGGTAGTGACGTATCTACGCTCTTACTCTGTCCTTCAGTACACAGAGCGTGAGCCACAGCATCCGAGAGCGCAGAAGTGCCCTGAGGCTTAGGTGATACCATTGTGGTCTGTAAAACACCCAGCAAGGTCTCTGTCCTACCTTGGGCACTCAATAAATACTAGCTCACTCTAATCCTGAGGTTTTCAGTCTGTCTGCCTTCTGATGGTGGAGGCTTATGGAAGTTTCCTGATGGGAGAGACTGACTGAGGGGAAAACTGCGTCTTGAGAGTCCCTTGGACAGCAAGGAGATCCAACCAGTCCATCCTAAAGGAAATCAATCCTGAATATTCATTGGGAGGACTGATGTTGAAGCTGAAACTCCAATACTTTGGCCACCTGATGCGAAGAACTGACTCATTGGAAAAGACCCTGATGCTGGGAAAGATTGAAGGTGGGGGGAGAAGGGGATGACAGAGGATGAGATGGTTGGATGGCATCACTGACTCAATGGGCATGAGTTTGAGTAAACTCTGGGAGTTGGTGATGGACAGGGAAGCCTGGCGTACTGCAGTCCAAGGGGTCACAAAGAGTCGGACACGACTGAGCGACTGAACTGACTGAATCCTGA